TAATTTTTGAAGGTTTGTATTATAATAATAAAATCATAGGTTGGCAACACTGACTCTACCTATACCTAATATTTGTGAAATAGTATTTAATTACCTACACGGAAACTTGTTTTCATTTGCCTTTTGGCTAAAATTGTTTTCAAATTTTTTGTACTTTGGCTATTTTGGCGGCCCTGTGCCAGCTGCGCCCTGGGAGGAGGCTTCCCCGTCTACCCCCTGTTGGCTACGCCCTTGATTAAGTGTACCTTAAATTCACGCAAGCAAAAACACCCAGGGTGGCGGTACTTGCATTGGGGAGACTTGATCCAGAGGAGTGTTCCCAGGGTGGCGGTACTAACACTGGTTCAAGTCTACCCAGTGCAAGTACCGCCACCCCGGGAAAGCCCCCCTAGATCAGTATCAGTTAAATGTTTAAATGATGATTAACATTCTTCGTACCATTAGCATCAAACAGACATTCCTTCCTAAGTAGCGTCGAACGTGTGGCCCTTCCCACGGAAGAGCATGTATCCTGGGGAATTCATGACGTAATAACTTCTTAGCAAATATACACCTTATATAAAACTGAGCGAGTTTCTTTCCATCTGTCCACCCTATATACAACATCACAGAGAGGCTGTGACAGTATTACTAACTAAAAAATGGCCAACACAGCAAAGAAGGGCAATTGAAACTATAGAATGTTCTCGAAACATGTGAGCGGTTCAGATCGATGTGGGTCACTGGGGCCACTGGGGGGCTACGGCTCTGGATAGACTCGTATGGCGACGAAGTATCCATCAAGACTCGGAGTATTTTGAACGACAGGGGCGAAGGAGGGGATTCGCAGAACAAGCGAAAGAGTAGAAAACAACGATAAGTGCTGGTTCACAACAGCTAGCGGTGATTGGGTGTGACGGAAATTGTGGGTCCAGGATAGGATTAGGATGGAATATTTGATTAATATTTCGTTTTGCAGATTGCCAGGCCTCTTTTAAAACTAGATTTGAAGTTTTCAGTTGAAAGTCAATCAGTTTTGCTGATGCTTACCATTAATACTTCATTTTTAAGTAGGTACCTACCTATTCCATATTTCATTCTGCGAGTCCCATCACAAAAAAAAACAAGACTTTTTTGCAACACAAATGAGGGTTAAGGCCATACCTGGCCAGCCATAATGTATGTCATACTTTATGGGAGTCATACGGAGAAAGTCCGCTCCTTTGAAGGTTACTTTATGGGGTGCTCTACATAAAAGTTGATCCTAAATTATAAATCAGAGTATTTATATCCGGTATACTGCTGACCTTTTCGAAGAATATTTTAGGCGGACGATCGAATACATTTCTGGTAACTCCATATTAATGATAAATATTGCCACCTAATATTCGAGGGTAGTATAGAACCTTCCCACAACTTCATGGAATAGAGCGGAAATCATGGACTGGTTTCAGCTGAACATATTGAATTGTGATGGTAACATGATTGGAAAAAACTTTTGGAAATTGTAGGCCATAGGCCACAGTTTAAGAAATATGTTATTTAGGAGATGGCAAAAGATTCAGGTGTTATTGGATTCCGTTTACCCCCTCATAATAATAATTGTGATTGTGAGCTGAGCGTTATAGAGCTTATATGGGCAAAAGTTCAAAGTTATGTTGCTTTCTTTCCTAATGGATCTTCTAGCAAAACGCCATAAAACATGTACCTATAAAGAAGGAACAAAAAAATATGGAACGTTGACGGTGAATGAATGAACGGATGAATGAATGAAAGAGTGCCCGGCCGCGACCGTAGTGCACATAGGTCTCCTGTGGTGGACCCGTCGTGCCCCACTAAGTTCTACCACCATCCTTAGAAAAGCCAATCAGGCACCCTGGCTTCATCCTTTTGACGTCATCGGGCAAGCAATACAACTTGCCCAGGTGTTTGAACCTCGCGCGCGTGAGTGCAGGGCACTCACCGATGACGTGGTCTGCCGTCTCCTCCCCCATGCACCAGCGGCATTACGGACCGTCCGTAATGCCCATGCTATGGAGGTGGTGTCTTAGGTGCCAGTGTCCGGTTAGGAGACCAGTCACTAGCCGTATCTCGCGTCTGTTCAGGTGCAGTAGTTGTTTGGTGAGACAGGCAGAGGGCCCATCAATATGAGCCTTAGCCTGCCTCATGCCAGGTGCCTCCATCCATCTCCCAAGGAATTGCTCCGCGAGGAGACCCGTCAACGTTGACGGTTGTCGACAATCTAACTGCATCCAATTATTATTTTTTTTGGTACCTATTTTCTATAAACTACAAATTTCTTTGCCATTGTCAAACATGTTTTGTACAGAACTTTGTCGGTATAACTGGTAATTGAAAACTGTTTAATTTTAATGCAATAATGTAGACAGAAAAATTATATGTTTTTAACAATAATTTAAACCCCATCAGCCCCATTTCATTTAATCGCTCTCTTGTCATTTTAGCTGTTATAGGGTGTCCGGTGTCCTAGGCTATAAGTGCTAGAACTTCCAAACCATTATGCTAAACATAAGAAGTAAAATTTGTTAACACCTCGGACAATGATTAGAATCTATGATAAAGGTAGTTTCTAAAGAATCAGCAGCAATGGAAAATACATGTTTTAACTTGTAATGTTACATGTCAAAATAGTAACTTCACCTTCGGCATCGAGAGAGAAAACCTAACCAATTTCCGTAAAGCCTGAAGTTTGACGCACCAAATATGAAAGACAGTTAATTCAAATACCTACATTTAATTATTGTATAGTTTCATGATTTCTGTTAAATTGACAGAAAAAAAAAACACATATTGAGTAGAATCTATTTATTTTAAATATTAATTATTGATTACATAATATAGTGGTTGCCTGCCAGGATAAAATATCATGTTATTTACAATGTAATAGTGAAACATAAATCGTAGGTACTTAAATCAAAATTTCAAAACCATGCGGCTTTAAATATATTTTTTTTTACATCTACTGGATAGTTCGGTTTATTGAATGATCTTCGCATTTATAGGTAAAACATTTGTCAACAGTCTACTTGAAAATGATAATAAATAGCATATAAATGATTTTAAATAATTTAATGAGAATGAATGATGAAGAAAAAAAGAGTGATATTTTTCCAAAAAATTAGTGTTTCAAATAAACTGATGCTAAACACATGGAAAGAAATAGCCATAACTCAACAAAACAAATGTTTTCCAGGAACAATTTTGCTCATTGGTTTGGCTACTGCTCCCAAAACATAAAAACTAATCCAATTTGCAAACAAAACTTAACTTAAACTAAAAATCCTAAACAGTGTTTACTCTAGATGCAATGCAATTTAAAAAATGGCATGCAATCGGCTGCACATGCAATTTTATGACTACTACCGTTTAGATAGGGCGCAATTGCATTGCTTGCAGTCATTTTTGTAGCCGGCTGTGACAACTTAACGGAAATGATATAAACGGCTGATTTGATACTCTCAATCTTGGACCATTAAAGATAAAATTAAGAAAACCATTTTTATTTTTTGAATATACGCTGGCAGAAACCGAATTTCAAAAAAAATGCATGCAACAAGCAATAAAATCAGGGCATGTTCTTATTCTATGCAATGCGATGACAATTGCATTGGTTTCAGGCAAAGAAAGTATTGCATTGCATGTGGTGTAAACATGCTTCTAGAATTGAAGAAATGTGTTTAAGATCACTCACTAAAAGACATTTGATTTTTCCTTTTAGTCAGTTACACTGAAAATGCCTTTTTAAACAACTCAAATGTCTTAAGAGTATTAATAACGGCTAATAATGGATCAAATATAAACTCGAAATTGTATACCTTCAGGAGCACAACAATAGGTAAAGGTAAAAATCAAATAATATAATGTAAGTTTGTATTTGATCAATATAAGTTACACGATTGTGATGATTTATTAAGGGTTACACAATTATCCGTTCTATTATTTAGTTTAAGAACGAAATGAAATAACGCATAATTATTTGAATGTCAAATATTTTGTTCATTTAGATTGCAGCTAAAACACGTAGATCTAATAATAGAATCATACATCTCAAACTATAATTAATTCAAAATCCTCTTCTCTAAAGAACCCAGAAATATAAAGATTTTTTTTTTTGCAATGATCAAAAAGATAATTAAAGACAGATATCTGTTTGAAAAATTCCAATAAATATCAATCAGGTCAATAATCGCAAGAAAACTATAAACTCTCAACAATCTTAACATAAGTGATGTTCTAAATATCAAATTAACGCATAATGAACTGTTTCCATCAAGATTCTCGGAAAATTACACAAATCTGGTTGCAATTTTCTCACTTACCTATCTTTATATAATTCGACTAGTGCCCAAATTATTTCCAAATTTTTTTAATTCGCCAATGTTTTAAAAATTATTATATACAAGATGTTTCACAAACATCGAAACAGAGGCGTTCTACGGTATTTCAAGGTCGATTTAAAAAAAAAAACGCTCGGACACGTCATTTTTGTGTTCAAGGGGAAAACTTTCTGAACCCATCGGTATTTTGCTAAGGTGTACCCCTTGGGTGGGGTGACTTTCACCCCTATTTTTTTAGATAGGGAAGATAGGTCGAGTGGTACCTCGTTTTGAAGGTATTTTGATTCTCGCCACAACTGCGCATTTTTTTTGATAATCGAATGATTAGTTCTCAAGATATTCACTGACAAAATTGTCGTGGGCTAAATAAGAAACAATCTTCTAGCCCTGTCATTCTCAAGTTAACACTTTCCTGACTTTCCTCTCGGAAACGTCAATTTTTATTTTTTTTCTGAAAAATGTACCAAAACAAGTTACCACTCAACCCATCTTCCCTATATAAAAAAACAGGGTGAAAGTCACGCCACCCAGGGGGTACACCCTAGCGAAATACCGATGGGGTCAATAAGTTTCCCCCTTGAACACAAAAATGACGTGTCCGAGCGTTTTTTTTTTTTAAATCCACCTCAAAATACCCTAAAACGCCTCTGTTTCGATGTTCCTGAAACACCCTGTATATACCTAGTACTTGTGACCGTGAGTGTGAAAAAAATCCCGAGTAATAATTTGGGTTAGTGTGGTATTCAGTAAAAAAAATTTAAACCAAAATTTTATTATTTCAAAACCTGACAGACATGAAATAAAAATAGGTACAAGCTGTCCGAATTTGCTATGTCAAAAAAATCTTCAGTGTCACGTCCAGGGTAAGTACAAAGAGAAAAATTTCCTAGCAATCAATTTTTCTTGTCATGAAAACGTGTCAAAATGCGACCCTTTAAATCGCTTTAAATACAGGGTGAAAATTTTCAAATATACTGCTGGACACTTGAACTTACGCATACAGATTTCTAGGCAAAATTCAATTTTATGGCCCTGTATATCATAACCCTATGGTCGTATGAGAAATTTAGGGCAAGCTTTATCCGGAAAACAGCGTTAAAAAAACTTTATTCGTGTCGTAAATATGAAACTTTGAATTTTGTCTAAAAATCTGTATATGTGAAAGTTCGAGTGTCCAGCAGTTTATATTAAGTAAGAAAGATTGTAATTTTTGGTAAAATATACATTGATAATTTTCGATATTGTTTTAAAACAATGTGCAACCCGTTCTGTATAAATTAACACACAAAAAAATTTGCATCCGTCACCACTCTATCAATACAACCGAAGAAGATATAGGATATTGATGACGATCTCGTGGATATATCAACAATAGAAGAAGCAACGGAAAAATTTATATACATCCACAAAAAAGCGTAACTTTGATTGGTCAATTATATAAAAAAATAAATGTATTACAATCTAAGATTCAGGAATCTATGTACAACAAAACGTAATACCATACCATTAAAATATTTTATTTTGCACAGTTTGAATCTTACAGATAATAATGATAGTCAAGGGTATTGAAACAACCTTAAAACTCAACGATTAAATTCAATATAGTTATTTCATTTTAAATTTCTACCATAAGCTTGTTATAATATCCAACCAGAATTTAGTTGAAACCTTGAATCAGTTTGTTGTTTGTTGAATAATTTTGTTAGTTGCTGGTGTTATGTTTTGAAAGTAAATAAAGGTTCATTAAAAAGAATTGCTAAGGATAGTGTTTTGAGAAGTCTTGCATTAGTTTGTTCAAGAACAGCTGATGACGGTTTTGCTTATAAACCAAACTGCTGGTCAATTGCTTTCGAGCAAAATGAAAATTTCGCCCAACTTTCCAGCTCGATATTTTTGGAACCAAAATATCGACCTCTGGTTTTCATATAGCATTTTTTTCACAAAAAGTCTATCCGTCAGCCTGTGAAAACCGGAGGTCGATATTTGGTCTGGTTGCAGAAATATTGACCTTGAAAGTTAGGTGAAAAAATTTTCTTGCTCGAAAGCCACCAGTAGTTTATTTCAGCAAGACTAATATTTTCTTGAGACATTCACATATACCGTCTCATAATGGAATGGAGTGATTGGGTAACTGTCCTCAGTTAATGCAATTCCCAAGACCTTTCAAAATTGCGGACAACAAAAGTGAGGGTAGAAAATTTTGAATTCTAGGATCTGGTAACGCTCAATCGAACTGTGCATGATAATTCAAACAGGTATCTGTTCAGATTATGCCCAAAAAACAAAACATAACTACTTTATGTACAATTAATCGATATTTATACTTTATACACACATTTCAAATTTGGAATGATCTTTTTCACTAGTTTCATTTCAAGCACAGAAGGAAAAAAAATTAAATTAATTAAATATAAAAAATTGCACTAAATTAGTTTTGTTGTTACATAAATTCATAACAATAATACATAATACATCCAAAATGTGAACTAAAAGGCAAAGTTTCAAACAAGGTTCCCCCCACACGCTTACCTGAAAAACATTTTAGTTACATTTCTGGAATTTATGATAACTAACTACAGATAACTATTTTTTTTTAATAAGTAATAATATGTACTTTGGACATATCTAACTACGATCTTCAAGATAATAGCATGCTGTCTACATGGCATGTTTTAACAAGTGTTTTTGATTTTACAAAATAGAACAAAGTTAAATACTTTGCTCCGATTTGCAATAATAATAAGTAATAATAATATACAATAATAGTATAATACTATGATTACAATAGTTTTTTATTGGATAGCCTATAAGAATGAAATCGTATTGTTTGTATTGCTTATGTCAATACAATCTCACTTGCTCATCTAAAGGTGTGATTATCAGTTTATTTACAAAGTCGCTTAACCTATAGCCTCTCACTATTACATTTTTTCAAAGAACTTCCTCACAAATAATTTTTCCATTATTAAAATTTTCGTACAAACTCTCTAGCTCTAATTAGAATCATTTTTTTAAATCGTGTATGTGTATTGCTATTATTTAATTTTTTTAACGAAACGCCCCTTTGCATTTTCCCCTATTTAGGTTTAAATTTATTTAACTGTCGAAAAGTTTTGTTGTTGGCTTTTGTTGCCGGCTACCCAATTTGAGAAGACATCCCTGAAAAAAAAAAGAGTTATTAAAGTTATTTACTTCTATCTCTATGAAAGATTCAGTCATTGAAAAATATTGGAAAAGTATAAAAGAATTTAATTTGTTCAATTATTTCTATTTCTCAGCAAAAATCGGAACAGCAATGGAAAACTGCCACTTCGGGTAGAAGATTATTTCAAGGTTGCATTATTACAGAGAAATTAATAAATTTTTGAAATTTGTTAAAAAAAAAAAGGTAAGAATACTGATTTTACTTCTCACGACAAATAGATTTAGAGAAGTAGGCTTCTAAAAGTAATTTTTGTGTCTCAGTAACGCTCTGGTGGGATTTAAGGACCACATGGTATATTATTTTGAATTACAAATATGTATCACATCTATGAGAGGGTTCTGCTTTCAAATCGGAGGTTCCTTTTTCCTTCCATTATATACCAGGTAAACACTTACAGCCATTGGCACAGGACACTCGAGGCATTTTGAGGTCACTGTACGGAGAATATAGGTCCCCCCACTTAAGATGAGCTTTGGATTCCGTGGGGCTTAGGTCTCACTAGAGTTATTCTAACCTCACTCTACGCGCGTTTGACAACCCTGCTTTTTCCTGATTCACATTTTAGATTCTTTGTTATTCGTCTTCTTCCAGCATGCTCTCATCTAGTATGTGTGTGTTGGATGTGTCAGTTGCACCGCGACCAAGGTTGATCTATTGTACCCCGCCTTCTGCTGCTAAGTTCGGGTTTCCCGCTCAAAGCAGCCCCTCCAGTCCTGGGTCCCTTAGGAATTTTAGGTTGTCCAGCGGTTCCTGGGCTGGAATTTCTTCCAACTGTATAAGGGCACTTCCCAGGTTCTTCATCCTTGAGCGACTAACGGCATCCCAGTTTAGTAGAAGATGGTGAGGTGTCTCTTCTCCGTCTTTATAGAATCTGCAGGTGCCACCTTCTTCTAACCCCAACTTCTGTAGGTGTTTCTTAAGTCTGCAATGTCCCGAGAGAAATCCGGTTAGAGTCTTGAGACCTTTCTTGCTAAGGTTGACCAGCAGTTCTGATCTTTTTGGTTGAAGTTGCCCAATAGATCTTTGGCCTGTCGTAGTCCTGGCTGTTCTAGCCATTGTTTTTTCCCTAGCCGGTTCTCTTTTTTTTTGAGGATTTCTTGGAGGTGCGCATTTCCGATGCCGCAAAATGGTTCTGGCCCAGTGAAGGGAGTAGACGCTCCCGTTATTGCGAGTCTGTCTGCGCATTCGTTGCCCTCGTCACCTATGTGTCCGGGCACCCAGAGGACTTTGTTTTGTTTTCCCAGCTCATTTAGTTTCTGTAGACATTCCCATACTGTCTTAGAATTGATGACCGGGGATCTCAATGCTTTGATAGCTGCTTGGCTGTCAAACATAATTGAAATATCTCGTTTCCGATAACTTCTGTTCAGGTTAAACTGCACGCATCTTCTGATCGCATGAAGTTCCGCCTGAAATATGCTTGGTAATTTACCCATTGGGTCCGAGTATTTGACCCGTGGCCCGAATACTCCAGCTCCAGTTACCTCAGCAGTTTTGGAACCGTCTGTGTACCATTTGATGGTGTTTGCTTTAAGGGATTGGATAGATTCCATGATCCATCTATTTTTTGTACCTAGTTCAATGGAAAAGCTTTTCTCGAAACTGAATTTATCAACAATCACGTCTTTTGGTAGATCCATGAGGTGTGCACAGTTTAGGAGAGGAAAAGTTCTGCCAAGGTGCGTTTTCCTATGTAGACCTACATCGTCTCTAGTCTGAGACATGATCCACTGGCAACCAACTTCACTATTATGTGGAGTGGAGTGAGATCTAGGATGACTTCTAGTACCGCGGTTGGGCATGATTCCATTGCTCCTGTTATACAGAGACACGGGAGTCTTTGCACTTTTCCTAGCTGTTACTAACTGGGTTCGGCTATACCAAGCTATCGCTTCGTACGTGATGATAGGTCTCACTATCATGGTATACATCCATCTTAGGATTGATGAGTTATAACCCCATGTTTTACACGCAATGTTTTTGCAGACCATGAGTGCCGAGATTGCTTTGTTTTTTGTGTTCTCTACATGTCGGTTCCAAAGAAGTTTAGAATCTAGGGTTATTCCTAGGAATTTAACTTCTTTTTTCCAATCAAGTCTGCTTCCATCGAGGGGAATGTTTTTCAGGTTTTGGAGTTTCATTCTTTTTGTAAATGTTACCAGTGTGGTTTTTGCTGAGTTTTTAGATTCAGCCCCACTGTCTGACACCATTCCTTCGTGGTTCGAAGTGCTTTTTCTATAAGGTCGCAGAGTATTCCTTCGTATTTGCCTCTGGTCATGATGACAATAGGTCTGTTTGTCATTTTAGTGTAGGATAGGTCAGTGCAGACTGCTGGTGCAGTTAGGTGTTGCTCATAATCACCAGGGTAAAAGAAAACTACCAAACGTGTTAGTGCAGTTCGTGTAGCGATAGCAGCGGTGATTCTCTAACCTCAAAAATGATTATTTAAATAAATTAAAGTGGAAACTAACTGGGAAAAAATGTGTGGAATATTATTGAAGAAAATAAAACTTACAAGGTTTTATGGTCGGAAATTATAGAGAAGATGAAGATTCCCTTTTTTCCAGCTTGAAGACAGTTTCATTGAAGTAGTTTTTAATACCCAGAAGCGCAATAAACGAAACTGCATCAAGAAAATATTTTGAGACTGTAGTGCCTTCTTATACAGATATCGCTGAAATCGAGGTTTAAAAATATAGTAACAGCCAAAAAAAACAACACTATTGTGCCCTCCCCATTCTGCACTGGTTACACCTCCTCTTGAGCAGGTGTAGGTAGTGCAAGATTGGGCACCCTACACTGAAATAACAAACGCCTTACACTATTTGCACTAACCGCATAACAAACGCCTTAGTGCAGGAAAGTGTAAATTATTGTGCACTAGTGGAGGATAACAAACACACCATATATCATCGGCGTATCCAAAGCACGTGAAGCCCTGATCGGTCAATAAGTTCAGGAGGTCGTCAACTACAAGACACCACATCACAGGTGAGAAAACCCCGCCCTGCGGACATCCTCTGGTGGTAGTGACCTGTATGGTCTGTTCACCCACATGGCTAGCGTTTCACACATCCAGGTGGATGTGGTTTCGTTCACTCCTTATTTGACGAGCGCATTCTTTATTGACTCATGAGAGGTGTTGTCAAATCCCCCTCTATGTCCAAGAAGGCGCAGACGGCTACTTCTTTATTATGCAATGTGCTTTGGATGCTGTTGGTGAGTTCAAGTAAAGCGGTTTCTGTTGATTTACCTGCTCTGTGAGCATTCTGTCTAGGATGTAGTGGCGTCTTTTGTAAAACACTTGTTCTGATGTAATTATTCATAACTTTCTCCGCTATTTTAAGCAAAAACGACGTGAGGCCCAAGGGCTGAACGACTTCGGAAGAGGGGCGTCTCTTTTTCCTGCCTTTGGGATGAATGTTACTTTAGCGCTTCTCCATTGACTGGGTGTGTATCCGGTCGCTAAGCACCCATGAATGAAAGTCTCTTCCATATTTTCCCATTTTTGCCTGTCCATAACATGTTTTCCTCTAATTCCTAAGTTACGAAATCTGCTCTCGAAATTTTGAATCTGATTTAGGCTATGAGAATTATGAGATTGAATATCTATTAGTGATTTGCAAGTATTTATACATTTTTTGCGGCAACTCATTTTTTTATGATAATTGTCTTAATTTTATTTGTTTGAAGCTTTTTTGATTCGTGAATAATTTCCTGAATATTGGGTATAGAACATTTCCCGGATTTTTGGCCAGGCTCCCAGCTTGTATCCTTCATTTCTATTATTGTAGATAACGTTCATGACAATGTGTTCTTTTTTGTCAGACTTGGTCTGTTTCATAATACATCACTTGCGCGGTGTTGCCAAGTGCTTCTGATAGTGAGTTATGGCAGGTAGATTTTCCTGCTGCAAACTAATTTAGCGCTAATAAGGTCCACCCTGAGTTAATTTCTCCTTAACTAACGTCTATTTATTTCCAAGATAGATCAAACGTAAATACAATCATGCATTGTGCACGTGATTACCAACAACCAAAGCATTGGAGAGGGCCAGCCGTATTTTAAGTTACCTTGTAGAAAAAGTATGACAAATAATATCAAAAAATATTGATTACAATTAGTACAGGGACCATGCAGGATGATGTTCAACAAATTAGAGACAAGCTGAAAATTTGGCAAGATAGTTTATCTTAGGGTACTTGATACCCTCTGAAACCTCAGCGCCGAGGCGTTGAGCCCGTCACCCCAAAACTACCCCTTAATTCGGGTCAAATCTACCTTTTATTACAGTTTTCTTAATAACTCTGAAACTAAGCATTTTAGGATTATTTTTTTCACAAACATCCCCTTAATTGAATAGTTGATATCTACGCCACTGAACATGGGAAAAAGATTGATGTATACCTATTCGGTAGGAAATTTTTTTCTCTACAATTTTTCTTTCTTGACATTTTTTCCTAAAATGCTTAGTTTTGCAGTCATTGGGAAAAATGTAAAAATAGGTAGATTTCACCCCACTTAACAGATTGTTTTGGGGTGACGGGCTCAACGCCTCGGCGGTGGGGTTTCAGAGGATATTTAGTACCTCTCACCAAATTCCAGCTTGTCTCTAATTTGTTGAACGTTACCCATATAAAACGATTGATAGGCCCTGTACTAAATAAGTATAATTTAAAAAATAGCAACAAGCCGCAAAATCGACACAATTGGTGAAATAAAAAGATGTACGTGAGAAAACGATTGGAAAGAGGGTACGAATTCTGGCGCCGTCGCTAGGAGACAGCGCTTCCCGTATTAACCAATAAGGGCCGCTCTGTCCACCTGCTGATCGATGTTCACGTGCATGTCAGCCGCCTAGAGCAGATTTGTTTAGTCCTCGGTTAAGTCTATCTCGGGAATAAATAAAGTTTAAGTTTGATACCCGTGCAAATAGCTGTTAGCTAACAAGTACATTCTCTTGAAAACACTGGCGAGGCCAGATCAAGCGAAAAACTTGAAAAGTTAGATATCACATTTTTAGTTGTCCATTGCGATCTAAATTTACTTTAGAATATTTAGATAGAGTTCTACCTACCGGCAATGGCTAACAACACATTCATTACTGCAATATTCGTCTTCCCATTCTGGATTTATTATGGCCGGGTTGGTACATCCGTGACGTATGCAGGCGTTCTGTTGAGGCCTCATACCACCGGGGGCCATGGTCTGTTGTTGGGGCTGTTGGGGGGGTGACACTGATGATGGACCTGTGGCCTTAAACAAATAGAAGCTAATAATACCCGCAATAGTTCCATATACCCTTAATTTTGAAATCAGATTTCAGATTTTAATATTGAGTGAAGACTGCGACTACAAAGTTGCAAACCATCTGATCTTTCATATACCACAAACCCAAATTATATAAAAAATTATACTCAACGTTAAATAAAAAAACAAATAATCTGGTTCTCACCTGTGACACGGGAGGGGAATTCGAGACCAATGGTGGCGGGCTCATGTGCTGTTGTTGTGATTGCTGCTGTTGTTGCTGTTGCTGCTGCTGTTGCATATGGGCGTTATGGGGGGAAACGGGTACTTGATGATTCTGTTGGTGGGGTGATAAGGGTATATGTTGCTGTTGAGGAACCTGGAAGACATAATCTACTAAATTATCTAATAAAACATACATAATTAATAAAGTAATACAACTTTAAGTGCAAATAGGTCTGTTTGATGATCCTACACCAACTATATTTTGGTAAACTGGTTTAAGGCTACAATAACTACATGCGAGAAAGGATAAATCAAACAGACTTATTTTTTCACAACACTGTTCCCTATTACCTGTTGCATATAACTACTATGTTGCTGTTGTTGCATATGTTGCATAGCCATGTGTCCGCCCATGGGTGAAGGCATCATACCGGGGTGAGGCTGTGCAGGAGAGGCTCCCCCCATGGGGCCCATCATCGGGGGTTTTTTGTTGATGGGAGATTGAGAGGGTGGTGTAGGTGCTCCAGAGGACATTGGCGGTGATGGTATTGTGCCCTGCAATTAAATTTTATGATACTGATTTACTTAAATAAATAATGAGCTGGCTAAAAAAAAAATAAGAAATACCATGGTCACCAAAGGCCACACTCCAGGGCAAATACCCAGACAAAAGAATATACTACAAAATGTTTTCGAAGCTATTTTTTTCCATTTTCATATAAATTGTGTACCTACCTAGAAAAACAACTTGTGACTCTTGCATAGGGTCCGAAGTCACCAAAACTTGTACAATATAGGCACTTACCATTTCAATTTTGCTCTGACCAACAAAACTTTTTTTTGGTTTTGTGTGAATAACTAAAATATGTTCCTCAAGGCACTGGACAATGGGCTTAAACAATTTCCGCCTATGTTGCCCTACGTTCTTGATGCCCGCAAGAACGCATGGCACTGAACCAAAAGTATCTACATAAACAAATATAGAAACCAAATTAATAGGTACATAATCATTTTTGAAAATATGTAATTATTATAAGGTATTTATTATTGTAGTAGAACTTATCGCCAAGATTGACGGAACACTCATATTACTGACAAAATAAAAAACAAACCATAATTGATGATTATTAAGTTCTATCTTTAGGGCTACATATTACCTTTCTCTACTATAAGCATTAACTAAACATAGGAAATATCCCTAGCAATAAGAGATTCGAAATTTTCGAAAATTTTGAGTGCTAGAAAAAAAAAAGAAAACGCTTTTTTTCCAGAGAAATTGGGAAAACGGAAATTCAGTTAAGAAAGATGTGAGCTTGGAAAATGAAAGATGAGGTATACATTTGGTAGATATTTGTTTTAAGTTTATTATTTAAACCAACTCTGAAATTGTATTTATGTAAAGCTGGATTTATACAGCAAATAAAATAAAATAAGAGAAAATAACAAATAAGAAATAACAAATAGAAAATGCCTTGGCGTTTATAGAGATAAGAAATAATTTTGGACCAATGGAAATATGTATAATGTTTTGCACTTGCGCCCATCCAAGAGGATTTCAAAACATTCATATTCGCATTTTTCAAAAACAGCTGACAAAAAATCAGTACACCATACATGTGAACATCAATTTTCACATAAAATTAGATAAAATAAGATAAAAAGTTAAAATAGCCAACTTTTATTTATTTACCCGTTATTTTCTATTTGTCATTTTAACCAAAGTTTTAACTTATGTATATATTTTTCACATTATACTAATAGATTCCGTTTCAATTTTTCCTTTTTTTTTCCGAACTAATAGTCGAATCTCTGCCTCGCATTCAACTTTAAGCCTAGTACTTATAACCGCAAATTGCGGATTTTTATTTTGCGGATTTTTTTCTATTGGTTGAATATATTTAAACCTGTCAAGGCACACATCTTATGGGATTTTGGTGCCCGGTCAAATTTGATGAAATTTTGGTATGTTGTTTTTCTTAAGGTCCTGATCAAAAGAATCCATGGGCACAAATGAATTCTATGATTAGCTTTTGGGATACAGGGAGCTTGAAAAATTTAATATGCGAATTTGATTAGGTGCTCACCAAACTAATTTTTGGGGTTTGGATAAAAATTATTGAGATTTATTTACCTTTGTAAAAATATTGTTTCATCTCAATCATTTTCGTCGAAACCGCAAAAAATAGTTTGGTCAGCACATAATTAAAATCGAATATTCAACTTTTTAAATACCCTGTATCTCGAAAACTAATCATAGGATTAATTTGTGCCCATGGACACTTTTGATCAATACCTCAAGAAAAACAACATACCTCCGCAAAATAAAAATCCGCAATTCGCGGTTATGAGTACTAGGCTTTATTTAGCAATCTAACGATCTGTCCAAAAAAAAAACAATATGGCGGCAATGGTCAAACATCTGCAATGTGTGTTTCTTCAACCAACGTTTTATTGATTTCGTAATAAAGTTTCGTTTTATGCCGTTTCTACAGATAAGGTTTTTAACGGAGTGAAACGATTCGTCTGTACTTTGTAGGGCTTATTATGATTTTTTTTTTTGTGGTCATCCGCAAAATAAGGCAGAACTACACAGGTTTTTTTGTTGGTTTGGGTTAGTTTTTATCACTTCTTCCGTTTTGTGCCCACTAAAAATCCTTTTTATTTCCAAATAGTGAGTTGCGCTAACTGCTTTTACGATACACTTGTGTTCCAGTATTTAATTTACTTGTATGAGTTGTATGGATAAATAAGTATAAAATTCTCTTCAACGAACCTCTACCAAACTGTTACCCTTAGGCTTTTGCTGAGATTTTAGCATACCTTTTGCTGACATCCGGGTTTTGAACTAACAACTTCTTAAGATAAGGACTCTCCATCTTTAAATATGAAAAATATCCTTCTCGAGCACTAGAAAATCGCCAAAAAATACACATAAACCAGTTTTATGATAACAAAACGCCACAGTTGTCCAAAGGTAAATGAAATCCTTATGCCGCCAATTTTATTGTTGACCTTCGCCGCCATATTGATTGGACTGCCTAATTTTACTTCCACATATCAGTGAATGAAGGTATTGTTACAGTATAACAAACTCAATTGTTTTTATCAAGTAGGTAGTTCAGAATACTCAAAGTCTCTCAAAAATTAGGGGCCGGTTTCTCAATAGCGAGTCACCTCCGGGTTAAAACTAACCCGCTCCAGGCTAAGCGTGTCCAGTTGCAATGTTTACCCTGGAGTTATACTTAACCCGGGGGTGACTTGCTATTGAGAAACTGGCCCTAAGAAAAAGAGATTTGCGCAAATAATAATTTGGAGTTTAATAGTTTTCGTAACTAACAAGTTTTGGATATGTTATGTATTCAAATAGTAGAAAAAAACTGGTTAACCGAATCCGGATATTTGGTTAACCGATCAACCGAGAAACGTCTGGTTAACTGAATAATTGATTAATCGAGTAACCGATTTTCCGGTTTATCGACTAACCCAATACCGTTTTCTGGTTTTATTGAAAACCACGGATAAACCAAAACTCCGCTATTACCAGCACTACTACCTAAAGTAGACAAAAATTGTGAACTTTTGAAAATAAAACATTACTATATTAAAGAAAACTGGAAAAAAAAAATCAGAATGTAGTTCAAGAGCCTGAAACAGTTTAATTAATTATGAAAAAAATAAATTTTCCCCTTCTTGAATTGAAAAAAAAAAGTTTATTTTTATTCACTGTGCTCCTTGAAAAACAAGGAAAATGACACATCATAAAACACAAAGCAGGGACATTATTAGCTAACAAAAAAATAATAATATATGGGGTATGTGTTTCAAAATTTCATCAATCAAGAAGAGGAGAAATATATGGTCGAAACATAGATGAACAAGTAACAACGTTTTTTTTTGCTGTCCTATTCCCCCTAATCTTTTTTACTGTTACATAAACTATGTTAGTAGGTAAGTAGCTTGTTTTGAGTCGAAATTTTGAAGATATATTGATGGATAGATAGATAGGTAGAAACATTGGCATTTGATTTAGAAATCTATGAAAAAAGTCCAAGCAAGCTAAAAACTAACTCTTGCTTGCTAAAAAGACTCTTTGAAAATAAAATAAAAATAGGTAGGTAGGTACATGAAGTTATGAAACAGAAAATTAGCTGCATTTTTGATCGGTTATTGAATCGGTTCTACTCAAATTGGAAAAGTCTGATATCATACTCACTTGGGGTTGATATCCTCCATAAGGTGATCCTCCAGGAGGTCCAGCAGCATAAGTTCCATAATTACCATAAATAGGTCCGCCTTCACCTTCTCCAGCCCCTTTGGAAACTAAACTTGCCCTATACGCCGCCAATGCTTTCAGGTATTCTTTTTTGGCAGCCTCTGTCTTCTTTTTATAAACCTAGAAAGAAAAATATTTGTACTCTCAAAAAAGATAATTTCCAAATCAGTTAGGTATATTACTTACATTTTTGTGTTCAGAATCCAAAGCGTCCCACATCGAAGCTACAATTTTGGATACTTCGCCAAAGCTTGCATTCGGATTTTGACCCTTTATGGCCGCTTGGGTATCCCGGAAAAAGAGCGCATATGCCGATACGGGCCTGAAACAACAATATTAATTTAAATCAAACAAGCTAATAAAAGTGTATATATTTAAACCATCAAAGTAGAAATAAATCTATTCCTAAAGTAGCATCATTGATTTTCTAACATTAGCCGGCGGAATGAAAAATTTCCTATTAAAATGTTAGAATAGCACGTTCTCTTTTGTTTATCTGGAAGCCGAAAAGAAAAAAAGATACATTATATGGCCCCATAAAGTTCACATTAGATGTGAAGAAAATTTGCTGCTGGAATTTATAGCTTTATTTGCCAGGCAGTATTATTGCCACCAACCCCTGCTGGTGTGCTAACAAACTATGCATTTTTATGGGGTGTAAGTCCTGTCTGGTGGTTGGGCTTGCTGTTAGGTTATTTGCTACATGGCACTAGTTGATTTCATAGGCATATAGTTAGTCAATACGGATTCGGAATGCTCTCGGAAATTATGCTTGAGTTTTACCAGTGACAAAATTACCAATCCAGACTTTTAGTTAGTTATACTTTCTGCTACAAGATCCCAACCGTATTGTAATTTTTAAAACAATGATCAAAGTTCGATCCTCCTATCAATAAATAGTGGAATCTGTCCAATAACTCAGATCCTGAGATAAAACAAAGAAAGATAAAAACCTGAAAATTTAATGATACAAAAAAACGTTGCAAAGACGAAAATGCTATGCAAGGAATCGGGATAGACTGAATTTAAAAACTGAATAAAATGCATATAAAGTCTGAATTTCATAATGGGTTCTTTTAAGGCTTTATAAATAATTCATTGAATACATTTAAAACTTTAAGATGTTACTCAGAGTGTATATCCTTTTTTTTCGTTCTAAGAAAGTACCTATCGCCTAGTTTTGGTAAACTATTTATGACGCAACCTATGAAATTTTTATCGAAATTTCGAGTTTCATGTGATACATTTTTCAAATTATACATATTATATGGCTGATAAGTTTTAAAATTAGTGTTACAATGGAAAAAAAAGTTTCTACCAGAAAGTTCAAAAGTGAGTTGTTAATAGAACTTCATTGGAGTAATATAATCAACTTCTCTCCAAGTTCAAACGCCATTCTTGAAGGTCTTATTTTATAGCCGTTGACTTTCTTCGACATGGAAAATACCTTAAAAATCTTTTATATGTCCCTAACGTACCATATACAAGCCCCCCTAGGAAATATTTCAAAAGGGTCGCGGAGGAAAAAGGGACCTTAAATAAAAAGGGGGAAAATACATTGCATAGTGTGGAGACGCATCGAAGATGAGTAATCTAGCAAATGCGTATCGAAATTAACGGTATCGACCAAGAATCGTAAACTCTACAGGATTGCTCAATCGGCTAAATTTGTTCACAAGTGCTGTGACGTCACCTGCATTCCTGACTTTCAAGATGGCCGCCGATACGGATGATAGTTCATTTTGTGCTGACAATTATTTTATCGTAAATTCGAAGTTTATCAAGTGTTATAAGTGTAATTTAAAGTTTCATTTAATGCGTGTAAGCATAAAATACTCATGGCTAAAAATAATCGCGGAAACCCCAAACATTTTCTGGTTTTAGTGGTTTTGTAATACTAGATTTGTTGCATCAGGACATAGCTATCTTTTATTCGTGTGTATTGCTTTCTACATAGTTTCCTACTGATTTCCTAGTCAAGTATTTGTATTGTTTACTACTTAGTTTTAGGATTCCTTTGCCTTTGCATGTAATTACTAGAAGTTAGTGTTTGTAAAGAGTAAATAAATAAATAAATATGTAAATAAATTCCTTAACTGGCGCGTTTACAAGTAAACGCATGGAAAATACGGGGAACTTGCAGTGTTTTTCCGGATTATGATTATGAAAATCTAAATTAGGTATCACTATTTGGCTTTGTGAAGTACTAGCTGTACTTACTGTCGCACTAAAAAAAAGGTAAAAGAAATGTATGCACATTTTAATGTAATATTTATGCGGGTATTTTGAAATTACCTTGCTGATAAGCAGCAAGCAAACAAACTCGTCTTTGTGCTAGCTCAAAAACACGGTTGATGACAATAATTATTAATAATTAGCCAACTACTCAAGCACACAAACTTTTGTTGAAGTCTCTGCTAAATTTAAAAAAACACTGTTTTCAAAAATTCAAAGGAAATTAACTACTTACTTTACAGGTTTGAAAATGCAAGGAAAATGCACCGTCATAATAAAAAACAACCCTATCAAGGAGTGTGAAGATGGCACGTGACGTCACTCGCATTCCTCCATGTTCGATATTTTTTATGAACGTATGTCTTATGGGATTGACCAATCCTCGATTCTTGGGTATCGACCAAGGTGAAAACGATCACGCCATGATGATTGGTAGGGGGGAATTGGTGGTCTACCGCCCGACAGAAGTGGAAGCAAAGAAAATAGTATAAATTCATTCATATCATATTCAATAAATAAAGATATTGTTATGGTATATTTAGTGAATAAAGTGATTGTTATATTGCTGTATAGTATACCGGGTGACAATGAAACTACTACCCATGACGGCATTTCCTAACGGCTCGAGATAGAAATATGCATCTCGGTTTGTTGATAGGGTTGAAAATTGTGAATAATTTTAATATAAAAACAATTGAATGTCTTTTCCGGTTTTAACGGAAATGGCCTTGACTTTGTTATTTCAAATGGGACACTCTGTATATTATCTTTTTTTTGGACTCTGAACAATTCTAAATAACTTTTGTCTAACATACCCCATTTCAAAAATTGATGGTTTTTGAAATAGAGCCGTAATATACGTATACGTAATTAAATGAGTGAAAGTAATGTTAGTTTTGGCTTTAGATGAGCAAATGGGTTACCAAATTTTTAATTTTGCAGGTGTCTATGAAGGGTGAATTTGTCATATTTGGATAAAGGATAAAAAAGTAGGATTGGGTAGTGGAAGTTTCATTTCCATAAGTTGAACCATTTTCATACAGGGTCCGATCAAAAACTGAAACATTCATTTTCGAAAAACACGTTTTTCTTAACTTGCATTAATTCTTCTCTTTTATTATTTATCGAATACCTCTTTGAATAAAGAGCAAATAACCATGATTTTTTTCGTTCTGTCATACTCACTTTTTACGTAAAATACAAACAAATAGGAATTACGACATATTTTTGAGCCACTCTATTTCAAAAACTATCAATGTTTGACACAGGGTATGGTAGACAAAAGTTATTTAGAATTGTTCAGAGTCCAAAAAAAAGATAATATACAGGGTGTCCCATATAAAATAACAAAGTCAATGCCATTTCCGGTGAAACCGGGAAAGCCATTCAGTTGTTTTTATATTAAAATTTTTCAAAATTTTCAACCCAATCGACATTCGGAATTGCATATTTCTATCTCGAGCCGTTAAGAAATGCCGCCGTGGGTAGTAGTTTCATTGTCACCCGGTATAATATTCAAGTAAAACTAATAAACCCGAAAGTCAAACTGGTAAGACAACCCGTAGGTACGAAGAGTCCCCACTGCAGTGGAAAAACTTGTGGAGAAGAAACTAGAAGAGGCCCTGCTGACACAGATATAATAAAAAAAGTGAAAGAACCAAGTGCATGGATTTCACCCATCATTGTCATCTTCGAGTCACATGATGACATAAGAATATGTGTCGACATGCGCCGTGCTAACGAGTCCATCTTGAGGGAAAACTATCCGCTCTTCATATTCGATTCAATCATGACCAAGTTACGGGGGGCCAAATATTTTTCAAGATTGGATTTAGTAAACGCTTACCACCAACTGGAATTACATGAAGAAAGTCGACCCCCATTCCTACCTTCATTACCCACAGAGGCATGTTTCGTTACAAACGCTTAATGCTTGGAGTGAACTCTGCCCCAGAAATTTTCCAAAGAGTGTTTGAAGAAATGTCATCTATTTACAACAACTGTATTAACTATCCTGACGATGTTATCGTGTATGGAAGTACCGAGCAGGACCATGATTCATCTCTCCAGATAATCTTGGAAATATTTAAGGAAAAAAACGTTCTCCTTAATGAAGCAAAATGCGTCAGGAAAGTCAAGGAACTTAATTTCCTAGGGCATAAGCTTTCAGATCACGGTATCGACGCTGACAAAAGGAAAATTAAATAAATCCAAAATTTTCGGCCCCCACAGACGAAAGAAGAAGTACGCAGTTTTCTAGGACTAGTAACATATTTGGAAAAGTTCATGCCTGACCTAGGTTCAATTACCGAACCTCTGAGACACCTGATCAAGAAAGAGACCTCATTTCAATGGACAGAAAAACATCAAGAATGTTTTACTGAACTAAAAAATCTTTAGCCTCATTACCAACCTATTTTCAACGGCAACGCAGAACGCGCCTTATAGCAGATGCATGTCCAGTTGCTTTGGTGGCAATGGTAATTCAATTTTGTGAGAAAGGGTCACCTTATGTAGTATCGTTCGCTAGCAAAAGCCTATCCAATGTAAAGCGGCGACCACCAGCACGGCTAGAAAGATGGGTTCTCCGTTTACAATTCTTTAAATTTAAGGTAAGTCACCAAAGCGGGAAATCCAAAATAGCAGACTCCCTTTCAAGATTAGCTCAACTGAACCAAGATGAATCTTTTGACACAAAAACGAACATCAGGTCTTCACAGTTATAGAAAAATCATCACCCAAAGCTATATCACTTTCACAAATAATTATTGAAAGCCAGAAAGAAGTGCAAATAGACGCAATAGATCAGAGTAACAAAAACTCTTGGGAAATCCCAAAGAAAAACACCTTTTTTCCCTTCAGAATGGAATTATCGGCAATGGGACCTATACTTCTGCGAGGAAATAGAATTATTATCCCAGAAACATTACGAGCACAGATATTAGAACTGGCACATGAAGGACACCCGGGCGAGACAGTGATGAAAAAGCGACTGAGATCGAAAGTGTGGTGGCCTCTCATAGACAAAGAAGCGGAACGTTTTGTTAAAGGATGTAGAGATTGTCTATTAATATCTCAACCAGACAA